CTACAAAACTAATTTCTCAGTACCACAGGATGTCATAGACTGGAGACTATGCAAAATCCAGGCGGTGGACAACTGAGTTCCAAGTGAACACATTCTTGACTTGCATCAGGTCTTTCTCTTCTTGCTATATTCTCACTTGTGGTGGGGGAAGGAAAGGAGGAAGAGGGAGAATAAGAAAGGGAAAGAGGTAGAGGATAATCTCATCATGAGGGACCACCATCAAAACCCCATGTCAAATTGTGTACTTCCCTAAGGCCCTATTTCCTAATACCATCACACTGGGAGCCAATCGAGGACACAATTCAATCCATAGCAGCTATGCACATCTGTTTTTAAATCAAGATAGACCCTCATTTCATTCTTTATTCATTTTTCTGAAGTATTTTAGGGACAAGATGAACATTTCACAAAGTTTACATAATGAGCATTTGTGGTAAAATGATAGGACGTGAAAAAAATGCTCTGTTGTTCCAAATAAAATTAACATCTAATATCCAGTCCATGTATAAATTTCCTTGATTCACAAAAAGCAGTTTTCACAGCTTACTGAAAGAATGCAATCTTATGTTGCACTTGGTTGTTCCCCTTTAAGACAAAATAACTTGTTCCTTTCCCAATTTTAATGCCATTTATTAATTCAGAAACTGGGAGGAAGCAGGGTTGTTTGTCTTACAGAATGACCCACTATTGGGTTTAGAGCAGGAGTCCACAATACCAGCACAGTTGTCCAGGACAAGTACCAGTCCTTGGTCTGTTAGGAACCAGACCTCCACAGCAGGAGGTGAGCTGCAGGCCAGTGAGTGAGGCTTCATCTGTATTATAGCTGCTCCCTGTCACTCTCTCATCACCCTCAGAAGGGACAGTCTAGCTTGTTTTCCTGGAACTGTTTGTAGTTACATAACATATGCTTACTAGAAATAAAAATAGCATAAATATTGATGATGATTTCCTTTCTCAGTGCTCAGAATGGAGAGTTGATGCCCTAGCAATCTATCACAGTGACAAATCAGATGTTGCCTATTAACATTTGGACACATTTGGCCAGCTTAAAATTAAATACTAAAAAACTCTGATCATGGGATCCAGCCCCATCCTTCATGGAAAATAGAAGGAGAAAAGGTGAAAGCAGGACTGATTTCTTCATCTTAACCTGTAAAACCTCTGTGGATGATGACTGCAGCCATGAAATAAGAGGGCGTTTGCTTCTTGGCAGGAAAGCTATGACAAATATAAACAGTGTGTTGAGAAGCAGAAACATCATTCTGGTCAACAAACTGGTAGATATTTGGCCTTTTCATTTGGATTCCTAAACTTTCTGCCCAGTCCCCACTGGTCTTTGAAGTCCTTCAGCTTTCTGGTCCTTCAGGATTCCCAAGATTATTTTGTGCATTTCTTGACCCAGTCCTGAAATCAGCCATCTCTTTAAGAATCCTTGGATCGTCTAATGTAAAATGTATTTAGAAACTTCAAGTTAGAACTCAGAATAGTCACTGTTCTCAAGTTGTCATTGCTTGTAGGCTTTACATTGGTCAGAGTTGGAAGCACACATCTTCCTTAAAAAAAATAGAAAGGACTATTTAGTTTGTACAAACTTATGCTTTCAGTTCAAAATTTAAGACAGCAGGATTTTAATTAAACTTCTTTATGTTATGTTTGAACCTCTTTTTCTAGCCACTGAAAGGCTTACTTCAGAACATTAGTTTTAATTATTGTTTTGCTTTTACCTGTTAACATACATATGATTCTGTTCACAATAACAGAAGCAATATGAGGAACAATAAGTTGTTGAATACAGTTTCAGATTTCTTTCCTGTTTTTCTTTTGTTTTGTTTTGGATGGGCAGTATTTTTGTTTTTCCTTAGAAGATATTCCACCCTGAATGTAGTCATAATTCTGAATTTTAAAGCCACTTAAGTAATATGTTGTTATGAGCATCTAGTCACCAACTTGTTGCAATTAGATTTATCAGTCTTTGTTCTGTATTTGTACAGTTCAGTTCAGTCACTCAGTCGTGTCCATCTGTTTGCAATGGCTTGGAGTGCAGCATGGCAGTCTTCCTTATCCATCACCAACTCCCAGAGCTTGCTCAAGTTCACGTCCATTAAGTTGGTGATGCCATCCAACCATCTCATCTTCTGTCTTCCCCTTCTCCTCCTGCCTTCAATCTGTCCTAACATCAGGGTCTTTTCCATTGAGTTAGTTCTTCTCATCAGGTGGGCAAATAATTGGAGCTTCAGCTTCAGCATCATTCCTCCCAGTGAATATTCTGGACTGATTTACTTTAGGATGGACTGGTTTGATCTCCTTGCAATCAAGGGACTCTCAAGAGTCTTCTCCAACACATAGTTCAAAGGGGATATATGTGTGACATTTGTCAGTGACGTCATATTCCCCCATTGTGATTCAACCACCAAAGGTGCATTTAAATAATATGCACAAATGAGGACTAAGTCACAGTGCCCCATCTAAACACACCTGGCAACAGGAGAGGCTTCTGCTGTATTCAAGGGATAGGTGTGGATAGATCTCATGCAGGAATAGACCCTGGGAGTCCTGGATGAGTCATTAAACACGATTGTCTTTACTTTGGCTGCCACAGCTGTTTTGTCTTCTTTGATTGGGAAGACATTTCAAAATTATTTTTTTATGTTTGCTTTGGCAGACAAAATTTTTCATGGCATAGACCCTATAGGGAAATTTTATCAGAAATATATCCATTTATCTTCAGCAGTTATATTTGTTGGTTTTTATGTCCCTAATGATCTTTCTTTATAAATAGAAAGGAAACAAATATGTTCAGTATGCCTTCAGTCTCTTTCTAAATCAACCAACTTGAATTAAATGCATCTCTGTCCCCACTGCACTCCCAAATCTAGGCCAGAAATGAAAACCTGCAGAGACTGAAGGCTGATTCCAGCACATCATTGTGGAGATTTCATTCCCACTCCTTTTTGAAAAAAAAAATTAGTTGCTAATGTTAAAATCAGTAGATTGTACATAAATATCCAGCCTTCTGATTCTCTTGAAAACATGGCCAACTGGCCTGCTTTCCAACATGATTGAATTGGAGGAAAGATTGCTCCCAGTGGTCAGGCCTGTGCTGCCTAGGATCCAGTATGGCCACCTAGTCCTACTATCAATTCTCTTGCTCCTGGGGTCATGAGTTTGTGAGAACTAGACTGCTGGCTCGAGGAAGATAAAGACTACTTTTGTCTTGATCAACCTTGTCTTTGAAGCCTTTCACCCAGAACCCAACACACAGTACTTCCTTGTACGTTTGTTGCATGATATAAAATACCTTGTGGATGCATATGACATTTCTTCCAATACTGAAACCATGTAATTGAAGCACTGCTCTGCCCTAAATCTTTGATGCAGACTGGCATCACAGGTACCCCTGCTCTCTGCCACTAGACCCACTACATAAAGCCAGTTGTATGTCCCTGGGGTGTCCCTGAAGTCTTCACTTTGCCATTTGACAACTGATCCTCCTAGCAATCTGTTCTCCAATGAAGATAGCAATGCATATCTCATGAAGTGGCTAGGAAGATGACACGAAACCACAAATGTCGAGTTGGCCCTTAGTATCCATTTTATGATGTTCTTAACAGTCTTTTTCTCCAAGTATGCCAGGATCTCCATCTTCTTAGATGTCCATGCAGATCAGTTTCATTTTCCAGCCAAGCTTCAAGGAAGAGATTGCAGTTCAATTCTCTGTATTCTGAGAAGCTTCAAAGTCCACTCGCCAAGGACACAGATGAAGGTACAGAATTGATCCAGACCTTTGTTTTTTTTTTCAGATCTACTAGTGGCCTAAAGGGCTAAACTAGGGCATGTCAGAGTATATATAACTAGTGGTTCCCAGTCACCACTACATTCTAAGAACCTGAACTTTCCTGAGTACTTGGAGCCAGGAAAGAAGCCTGAAGTGGCTTGTGCTCTTGGGCTGGCCATCTCAGATTGCAGAGTCATGTAAGTATGGGGACTGTAAGCAGCATCATATTTCTTTATGTGAGTTTTGTTTTCATCTGGTTATTCTTCCACCCAACAGGTTCAGAAGGCAATGGAATATTTCCTTGACAGTGTTAAAGTTCAACCCTTACTTATTGATAAGTCCCTTGCTATAGGAACTGTGGGTCCCAAGGGCTGGTGCAGATTTGCAGAGCTGCACAACTCTTGGGTTCCAGTTGTGCCATCACCTATGGGAATTGGAAGTCCTTGCAATTTTTCAGTGCACAGTCAATGCAGGTGTAGGTGTTGTCCTGTGGAATAGCATTTTTCTACCTTTTATTTAACATGTCCTCTTTGTTACTCTCTCCTTCAGTGTGTATATGTCTATGTCTGATTCTCTGTATCACTATCATTTTCCTCTCCATCTCTTTGGAAGTCTCTGTGAGTGTATTTGTCTCTGTGTTGTTTTCTCTTAATTTTTCATTTGACTCACCCTTCCTTCTCAAGCCTCTACAGTTCCCTAACTTGTTCCCTATCTCCTGGATTCTTCTTTCAACTTGGAGAAAGATTGGAAGAGCTACTTATACACTGTTTTATATCTGACAAGCAGTGTGACCACAGCCAATTCCCAAACCTCTCGCATTTCAAATTCCTCCCTTATAAAAGAGGATAGGAATCCCCCTTCTACCTCCTTCCCTGAGCTTCTATGAGAAGGAAACATTGGGATGGCAACAGCAATGCCAATGGCTGTCATTGTTGAGACTTCCTATTTATTAGGTACCTTATATGCATCACTTCACTTATCTCCAAAATATTCTATTTGGAGGGTTTGAATCATTACATTCCACCATTTTACTGAGGGGAGACTGAGATCCCTCATGGTCATATGGCTTACCTATCATCACAGAACAGAACCTGTAATCAAACCTTTGTCTTTGCCATGGTATATGCATAAAATTCTGATAATAAGGTGCCTCATAAAAATGATTGGAAAATACACAGGTCCATTACAATGACAGTTATACCTTAACACTGATAGCTAATTGTAGCTTCTTCTTTGTTTTCTTTGTCACATATTCCGTGAAAGAATACCTCTAATGAAAGTGAAGACCGTGAGAAATATCCTCAGTGAAAAAATCATGCTGAACAATTTCCTGAAGGAACATGCTTACAGACTGTCTCAGATTTCTTCTCGTGGCTCAAATATAACTATCCCCCTGCTGAGGAACATCATGGAAGTGAGTGTTTTGGGAGGATGGTGCTCCACAGGGCCCCTGGTGCTCTAGCCTAGCACTGGGTTCATTTGGAGATGCCACGTGGGATGTTGGGGCCAGGGCTCCTGCAGGATGTGGAAACCCTGGGCGTAGGGGCCCCACCCAGAGGAGAAGTTACTGTCATCCTCAGCTCCTGGTCTTGGTGACTGGGCCCAGAAATTGGCAGGTGGCAGGTAAACATTCATTTGTGTGTCAAAGATGTGTCATTAGTTTGAGGAATATTGTTCCTTCTGAGGAGAAGGCAATGGTGACTCACTACAGTACTCTTGCCTGGAAAATCCCAAGGATGGAGAAGCCTGGTAGGCTGCAGTCCATGGGGTCGCTAAGAGTCGGACATGACTGAGCCACTTCACTTTCACTTTTCACTTTCCTGAATGGTGAAGGAAATGGCAGCCCACTCTAGTGTTCTTGCCTGGAAAATCCCAGGGAAGGGGGAGCCTGGTGGGCTGCTGTCTATGGGGTTGCACAGACTTGGACACAACTGAAGCGACTTAGCAGCAGCAGCAGCAGCAGCAGCAGTGGTTCCTTCTGTACTATGTGAATCACTCAGTTACAGATGAAGATTGAACCATCTCTGATCAGAAGGTAGAACAAACTGCAAAGCAATTGTGAATCCCCAGGCAGAGGAATTCAGTTTCCACAGATGCAAGAATCACAGCCATAAAAAGTTACTGAACCCGTATTCTGTGTAAGGCCATAAGAATCTAACACATTGGTTACTGTTTTTAGATTAGATAAAAGGCTTATTTTGTCTTCAAGAATGCCCATGCTGACCTGAGAGATAGGCAAAGGGTAAATACATGTCAAAATACAGGGTCACCTGTGTGGTGTTGATTGAATGTTGTCTGAGTTTAGAGGGAGTAGCTGGGGTTGAACAAGAAAGACCTCCTGGAGAAGTGGGTGTTAAGGCTGGGTTTGAACACACTACAGAGCTTCTCAAATGAAGGCACCGGAACTTCCCTGGGTGTCCAGAGGTCCTTGAGGTCCAGTGGTTATGACTCCGTGCTTCCAATGCAGGAGGTACTACTTCAGTGCCCTGTTATAGAGTTAGTATCCTGCATACCATGTAGCGCACACACACACACACACACACACACACACACACACACACACACACACAAAATCAAATGCAAGCACCTCTGTGATCAAAGGCTGTGAGCTACACAGTGGTTGGAAAGTGATCTCAAGAGATATGTGACACCCAAAGGGAGGCATAAGTGTGGGAATAGAGGGTAGCCAGTTCTGCACTAACCCACTCCCTCCTTTTCGCTGTAGATGCTCTATGTGGGTAATATCACCATTGAAACACCCCCTCAGGAATTCCAGGTTATCTTTGACACAGGCTCATCTGACTTGTGGGTACCCTCCCTCTTTTGCACCAGCACAACCTGTTGTGAGTACAGACACCCCATACATGGACCCTCCTTCACTTGCCCTGCCAGCCTGTTTTGCACCCTTGGCCCTGATGACACTCATGTCTCTTGCCTGCAGCTACACTAGTTAGATTCAGACATTACAAGTCTTCCACCTTCCAGCCTACCCAAACGATCTTCAGCATCACATATGGATCTGGGAGCATGAAGGAATTTTTGCTTATGACACCATTCGGGTAATGTGTAAACAGAAGCTGAGTCAGGACCAGCTTGCAATGGAGTGACCACTGCTTGCAAAACAGATGCAGGACCATCTGGCAGGACAATTCCTAGCCTAACTCCTGTAGATATTGGCCATCTTACCCACAGGATCCTGTCCCTGGGGAGGCAGTGCCTGTGGTGACACATGAGTAAACAGATTAGCTAACCCAGAGAGTGGCTTGAGGTGTGGACTTGCAGATTCTCTGCCCATGAGCAGTTCCAGGTTCATTTTGCTGGGAACAAGAAGAGGGGAAAAAAACACCCACTTTTATATTCATAGACTGTTACAGCACTTTAAGGTACTAATTGTTTTAATCCTGCAACAACATCACATAGCAGGTGGTCTGATTAGCTCATGAGACATATGAGGAAACTGAGGCGCAGACAGCAAGGGCCTTGCTGAGGTCACACATATGGTAAATGATGGAGCTAGGCTAGCTTTTCAGGACTGCAGTTGCTGTGGGGTATTTGGGGACAGGATAAAATTAATCTAGGGACCCTCGGGACAGTCAAGGGCTTCTGGTATCCAGACTGGGAGACTGGAGGCCAGAGAAGTCAGAGGGCTTGATAAAGAGTTCTTACTCTAGAGGATCCTTGAGAGCCTAACAAAACCAATGAGCTGCCTCCCCAAAGCACTTGAGTATTTACCCTCTCTTTCTCATACACACACAAAGACACACATATCCCCAAAAGTGAATTTCCCAGGCAGTAATTTCATAGATACCTGCAAGCAAGATTGTATTTGTGGCTTCTGTCTTCTTGGACAGATGAAGAATCCACAGTACCTTACAGAGAATGAAATCCATTCCTATCGTTAGGTCACAGTGATGTCAAAGAGAAGGCTACCTTGCTCTCGGCTCATTTTGTCCACAAGGGGGCACCGATGGGTCCTGGCCTGACTCTTGGTTGCCCCATCCGTACAGAAGGCACAAGGCCAATTTGACTCACTCAGGTGGTGTCTTTCAGAGGTGCAGATGTTTTAAAATTCACAGCCTCTCACAAATGGAACCCAAATTCCCCTCCCAGCTTGGTCTAACCATCTTAGGTGCACCGAAGACACAGTACATCTTCAATTCCTCCCTGAGGATCTAATGGCAATGCACCCGATCCCAGTCGTAGCTTCTCTTCACATCTCTGTAAGTGGGATCACTCTTCTCTCCCACAGACTGGGGATTTTGTAAATACTGACCAGCCATTCAGTCTAAGCGTGGCAGAATATGGGTGTGAGGGTGTACCTTTGATGGCATCTTGGGCTTGAACCACCCCAACCTATCTGTCTTTGGAGCCATCCCCATCTTTGACAACCTGAAGACTCAAGGTGCTGTTTCTGAGCCTGTCTTTGCCTTCTACTTGAGTAAGTAAGTCTGAGACGGACAATCCCTTTTCTAAACTAGCTGTAAGATGCTTTCAGTTGCACAAAAATTATAGAACACTTGATATAGAAGTATTCTGAGAGATAATCTAACCCAGGATAACTCTAGCCCCAGGGCCACACCTAGCTTCACCACTGGCTTTTATAAATAACATTGTATTGGAACACAACCGTGCTCCTTGGTCTAGGGGGATGAGTCAGGAGGAAGACCAACAGAAGTCAACAAGGAACAAGTTGAAGGAAAAGGCAATAGAATTTGCTTATGAATTTGATAAGGAAGAAAGGAGAAAGATGGTGAGTAGCTTTCCTTCCTCATTAGCATTTCACCCTGAGCCCAGGACCAGCTATCCAATTTGCAAGAGCCAGTGAAAAACGAAAGTGTGGGACACAAAACAAAAGTGTGGGACCCCTTGTCAAGAAATATTAGGCATTTCAAGACAGGCAGAGCAGAGGTGGGTTCCCTTCTGAGCGTGGGGCCCTTTGGACAGTAGAGGTCACAGGCCTTTGGAGCCAACTCTGGGTGACCGGAACCCACAGCCTTAGCACTCCCAGGCCTTGATTTTCCTGAAGAATGACAAGAAGGACAAGGAGAGAGCCAAAATGCTTCAGCATCCGGTCCTCTGAGGGTGTCTGAGCACTCAGGTCCCAGGAGGTCCAGGGCATCTTCAGAATATATAGTGGATAGAGCCCAGCCAGGTGACTCAGCTTCTAACCTCCTCTATGCAACTCATTAGCCAGCAACCAACCTCAGTCTGGTTCTCAATCGCTCCTAGACTCGATTTCTGCCTCTGTAGATGGGCACCTCAATAGGGTCTTGATGCATAGACAAGCAAAGCTCTCAGACTGTGCTGTTGTTTCTTTCCTCCAAAGATCCCCCACTCTCTTCTCTCTACACATGCAGGGCGAAAGGCAGTTTGGTGATGTTTGGTGGGGTGGACCACCAGTACTACAAGGGAGAGCTCAACTGGGTACCATTGACCCAAGCAGATGACTGGCGTGTACACATGGACCGGTAAGCCTCTCCCCCTGAGGGTCAGCCCAAGGGATGCTCCCACTACTGTACATGGACACAGGCAGACACACACAAATGCATTCTCAGGCACATAGTCACAGTGACACAGACAGACACACAGACACAAGGAAACACACAAACAGACACATATAAACATACACAGAGACACATAAAAACTTGCATAGCAAAAAACAAACAAACAAAAAAAAACTTGCATAGCTAGTCAGAGACACAGAAGCACACACAGAGACACACACTAACACATATACAAACAAACACACAAGCACATAGATACACAAACAGCCCATGGGTTCATAATCCCCAGGCCTCCTGACCAGGGCTCTGACCAGGGTCCTCACAGGGTCCAGAGAGGTCTGTGCAGCTGGGAGAGCCTTGCACCCGCTGACCTGTGAGGCAGGCAGCATGGTCAAAGGACTCTGCAGTGTGGTGAACAGGATCAGGGAGGATTTTCCCAGTCTGGACAGGGTTATAAGATGACCAGCTGTCCAGAGCTACCTGAGACCAAGGAAGTTCTCAGTACAGATAAGTGTCAGTTTAGAAACAGGGAAAGTCCTGAGCAAATGGGGAAAACTGGTCGCCTTATGGAGAAGCTACCCAGCAGTGGAGAGAAGTGGGCTGCAGTCTTAAGATTTGAAAGCAACTAATAAAAAAGACACACCACATCCCTGGGCACAGAGTGGGGCAGTGGCTATAACTGAGAGAATCAGAAAGCTGGGATCCAGGAGTGACCTGAGGACAAGAGGCAGTAGCTAAAATGATTCTGTATGATACGCTCAGACAAAAGCCGACCTGTCCTTTGGAGTTTCCTTGGGCTAGTCATGTATTTCCTGGGCAGGGTCTCAGGATCCAAGCAGGTTGTAGGTGCAGTGCTAGGAGACACCCTCTCACAGAGGCACCCCTCTCTCCCTCCACTATGAGAATCTGG